ACAGAGCCTTCAGTCATGGCCCATGAGCTGTTTCTGATTGAAACTGGCCACATTAATGCTGAAAATGAAGCAATAGATTGGGTTTGAGAAATCCTCCACCTCAGTGTTGTTAATGTGTAGATCCTGTGGGATAGACTTCTTTATCCAACTCCATAGTTTCTGTGATGTTATCACCTTTAGGGTGATGTTCCACAACTTGCAGATGACACAAGTATTCAGACAATAACAAATGCCCAGAGGTTTTCTGTACTGTAACATTCAAGGCACAGGCTGTGTTGGAGATTACTCTGTACTGTTTGTATTAAATAAACTGTAACTAATCTTGCTGGAGATCTCCAAGTAAACAAAATCTGGGCACCACATTTGCATTATGTTTAGATATCATTGCTAAACTTGCTAACAACTCAAAGATAAGTCAGAAAGTGAGTTGTGAAGAGGACATTAGGAACCTACAAAGGGATATAGAGAGATTAATGGAGTGGGTAAAAATCTGACAAATGGAGTATAATGTGGGAAAGTGTGAAGTTGCCATTTTGGCATAATTTTGAATAAAACAGAAGTGTATTTTGTAAATGGTGCAGAGCTTTGAGCTACAGAGGGATCCAAGTGCTCTAGTGCATGGATCACAAAAGTTAGTATGCAGCTACAGCAAGTAATTAAGAAAGCGAATAAAAGGTTGTCATTTATTATGAAGTGAATTGAATATAAGAGTAGGGGGTTATACTTCAGTTATACAGGACACTGGTGAGACACATCTGGAGTACTGTGCAGAGTACCAGTCACCACATTTATAGAAGGATATAAATGAATTAGAAGCTGTTTAGAGAAAGTTTACTGGACTAATACCTGGAACAGAGAAATCAATTAGTGCAGTTGGCTGGATGGCTGGTTCGCAATGCAGAATGATACCAACAGCATGGGTTCAGTTCCCATACCAGCTGAGGTTATCAATGAAGCACTCTCCCTCTCAACCTCTCCCCTCACTTGAGGCATGGTGACCCTCAGGTTAAGCCACCTGAGGTCCTCTGGGACTATGACAACTTGACCTTTACCTGGACTGGGCCAGATGTCTCATGAGGAAAGGAGGGACAGACTTGCATCTACTGGTGTTGAGAAGAGTAAGAGGTAAAGTTGATTGAAAGATAGATGATGCTGAGGGTCATTGACAAAGTGGATATGGAGAGGATGTTTCCTCTCGTGGGATAATCTAAAATGAGGGGCCACGGTTTAAAAATAAAGACTTGCTCATTTAGAGATGAAAAGAAAGTTTTTTCTCTGTGTGGGTTGAGAGTCTCCAGGACTTTCTTCCTCAAAAGTTGGTGGATGCCGTGTTTAAATTTTGTTAAGGCAGAGATGGACAGGTTGTTGGTAAGAAAAGGAGTGCAAGGTTTTTGTGGGTGTGTGCGGGAATGTGGAGTAATAATGGCTGATTTGTTCTTATTGTGGAGTGAAGTGGGCTGGAGGGGCGAGTGACTGGGTGGGGTGTGTGGGGCTGGGGAAAGTTGTTGTCAGTAATGGCTCTTTTCTCTGTGTTTCAGCTTCTCCAACTACAGAGATAACCACTGCAGCCACTAACAGCATTGACTATTCAACTACTGAAGTCCCATCTACTAAAACTAAAGCAATCCCAACCTCAACCACAGGTGGGTCAGACATGAAGAGTGGAGATCTGGGGGCAAAGCTGGTGGGAAAGTGGAGGCGGGTGTTGGTTGGAGCAGGAGAGGTGGGGCAGGAGTAGGGGTGATGGCATGGTTACTGATCAGGGAATGTGCTCTTGTACTGATAGTGGTGGAGTCTCAGAATGTCGTGGCATTCCTGCTGCCAATCATCCCCGGGTCAGTTCCTGGACTCTGCAGTTCTATATCTATTTCTCATTGTACCTCTATCTCATTCCACACAAGTGCCAAGCAATGACCATCCCCAACAAGAGAGAAGGTAATCACTGCCCCTTGCTATTCAATGGCGTTACAGTTACTAAGGAGAGGTTGACCCTCCCTCTGATTACTCAAACAGAAGCACCCAGAGAAGCTCGCAATGTTTTGTAATCTGTTATAAAGGAGAGGTTAAATGAAAAGAACTCCTGACAGTCACTCTATAATCAACAAGTAACAATTTATTTATCTAACACTAACAGTGGCAATAAATATAAGTCCCACTTCCATAAATCAAAGCAATAAGAAAAATAATTTAAAATTTCATCTCTCAAAATTACAGCCAGGATAAGTCTTCTGGAATGTTCTGTGCCCTCTCCACTGATCCTCAGTCAGGAATGCCTTTCTCCATCGAATTCTTGTGTCAGGAATATTAACTAAGCGTACCGTTGTACCTTTAGTTTAGATGATTGTTTTCTGAGAGGTTAGAGGTTTCGGAGAGAGCCAGTGATTCTTTCTTTTATAGCTGAGAGCTGTTCTCTTGGTGGATGACAGTTGGTCTTACCCTGATTTTTAAATGCCCTCTTCTTTTATACCCTTGATGACCTATTAATTTCTTACAATCGGATTGGTCCTAGATTGTCAAAACCATCAGGTTTAAGTTTAGTTGGGTTTGGTATCTAGGGCCTAGTTTAAATTAATTGGCTAAATTCAAAAACCTGTTGTCTTGGTAAAAATGCTGCTTTGCCTGTTAACAGTTTAGCCTTTTGATACAGTGTTTGAATTGCGAGAACTCTCTGAGCATTTTCAGCTGCCTGCAAACATTTCTTTTTAAATCGCCAAGCCTAGAAAAACACATTATCTTTTAAAGGGACTATGCACTCTTCCCCCTCTATCTTTTTACAAGCATCAAATACTCTACTCAACTTTGCAACCATTACCATCACTGAATCCCCTGCTATCAATGTCCTGGGGGTTACCATTGACCAGAAACTCAACTGGACTCACCACATTAACACAGGGGCTACAAGAGCAGGCCAGAAGCTGGGAATACTGCAGAGAGTAACTCTCCTCCTGACTCCTCAAAGCCTGTCCACCATCTACAAGGCACAAGTCAGGAGTGTGATGGAATACTCCCCACCTGCCTGGATGAGTGCAGCCCCAACAACACTCAAGAAGCTGACACCATCCAGGACAAAGCAGCCCGCTTCATTGGCACCACATCCTCAAGCATTGACTCCCTCCACCACCGACGCTCAGTAGCAGCAGTGTGTACTATCTACAAGATGCTCTGCAGCAACTCACCAAAGATCCTCAGGCTGCACCTTCCAAACCCACGACCACGTCCATCTAGAAGGACAAGGGCAGCAGATACATGGGAAAACCACAACTTACAGGTTCCCCTCCAAGTCAGTCACCATCCTGACTTGGGAATATATCGCCATTCTTCAGTGTCACCGGGTTAAAATCCTGGAATTCCCTCCCTAACGGCATGGTGGGTAAGGACTACAGGCAGAAGGCAGCTCACCCCCACCTTCCTCAAGGGAAATTAGGAATGGGCAATAAATACTGGCCCAGCTAGCGATGCCTAGTCCGGTGAATTATGTTACGCCTTGCTGGGTAACACATGAGGAACTGAATTACACTGTTCATGGAATCAACACAAACGTTATTAGGTTTCATCCAAGTGTACAAAGTCCCCAGTTTACTTTCTGATAGACTCACAGTAACTGAAAACATGGACCAGGTTTCTGTAATTAACTGTTGTGTATTATAATTAAATAAATTATTTTATAGGTAAACAATTATTAACTGTCACCATTGTTCACACCCACAAGCTGTTCAAAAACTCAGGAACCAATCAGAGTGTTGTTGGCAGTCTGATGACCTGATTACTGTCACACAAACCTAACAGCTACCTGTTGCCAGCTGAATCTCATTTTGCGCATGCCCAGTGCCATGCCATCTACTTACACCTTCATCCACAAAGCAGCACTGTAATGAGCTTAAGGAACTTCCTTTCTAAAAGTACAGCAATTTCATCCCCAGTTCCTTGTAAAATGATCCTTTTCTCAATTCAGTCCCAATCAAAAAGAAAGTGAAACTCAAAGATGCAAACTTTACAAAAGGATTGTTTTTATAAATCACCTGCTGGTGGGTGGGGACAGCACTGTGGACGAAATGTTCGCCCCATTTGTGGTCCAGAGGGGACTGTGCTTCAATGTCACTCAGTGCCTCGTTGCAGCATCTGGCATCAGGAGGGAGGGCCACTAACAATGCCACTACCAATCCCACTCCCCCTTTCTCCCTCATAACCCACACTCCTGCCATCACTCCCTGCTGGTCTGAGCTCCACCAATAGTCCTGCTCTTTATGATGGGATGAAACTTTGACAAGGTTCTGCATGGGAGACTAATCAGTAAAGTTAGATCACATGGGATTCGGGGAGAGCTTGCCAAAATTGGCTTAATTGCAGGAAACAGAGAAGGTTGGAGTTGCTTTTCAGACAGGAGGCCTGTGACCAGCAGTGTTCCACAGGGATTGGTGCTGGGACTGCATTTGTTTGTCGTTTATATAAATGATTTTGATGAGAATATAAAAGACATGGTTAGTAAGTTTGCAGATGACACCAAAATTGGTGGTGTAGTGGACAGTGAAGAAGGTTATCTATGATTATAAAGAGATCTTGATCAATTGGGCCAATGGGATGAGGAGTGGCAGATACAGTTTAATTTGGATAAATATAAGGTATTGCATTTTGGTAAAACAAACAAAGGCAGGTTTTAAACAATTCAAAGTAGGTCCCTTGGGTAGTGTTGGAGAACAGAGATACCTAGGGTACAGGTATATCATTATTTGTGTCACGTATAGGTAGGGTGGGTAAGCAGGCCATGCTCAGACCTTTGAGTAGAGGAGTTGGGATGTTACATTTAGGTTGTACAAGATACTGGTGAGGCCTCTTCTGGAGTACTTAAAGTTTTTGAGAAGATTTGTAGCTTGGGTTGTGGATGGGGTTGTTGATTTGTTCACTGACCTGATACTGTGGAGTACTATGTCCAGTTCTGGTTGCCTTGTTATAGGAATGTTATCATTAAACTGGAGAAAGTTCTGAAGAGATTTACCAGGATGTTGCCAGGAAGGGAGGGTTTGAGTTATAATGAGAGGCTGGAGAGGTTGGGACTTTTTTCACTGGAGTGTAGGAGGTTGAGGGGTGACCTTGTAGATGTTTATAGAATTGTGAGGACCATAGATAAGATGAATGGTAGGTGTCTCTTCTCTCGGGTGAGGGATTTCTAAACTCGGGAGTATATTTTTAAGGTGAGAGGAGAAAGATTTAAACAAGATATGGGGGCAACTTTTTTTACACAGAATGTGGTTTGTGTGTGGAATGAACTGGCAGAGGAAATGGTGGATATGGGTACAGCATTTAAAAGACATTTGGATAAGTACATGAATAAAAAATGTTTGGAGGGATATGGGCCAAATGCAGGGAGGTGGGACTAGTTTAGTTTGGGATTGTGGTTGGCCTGGACTGGTTGGACCAAAGGGTCTGTTTCTGTGCTCTCTAATGTTTGACTCCTTTGATGAACCTGGTCTCTATGATGTTGGGTCCAATTAAAATCCTATTTCTGGATGATATTGGGTCCAGCAATGATCCTTGTACTCCAGTCTTCTAAATAGGAAGACCAGCATTCCATTAGCTTTCTTGGTTATTTTCTACACCTGTTCATGAAATCTTAAGGATCTATGAACCTGAACCCCCAGGTCTCTTTGAATATTCACTGTATTTAACTTCATACCATCTGGAAAGGACCCTGATGTATCCTTTCTCGGTTAAAACTCAATAACCTGATGCTTGCTTACATCGAACACCATCTGCTATGGTTTTGCCTGTTCACCTCTATCAATATCCCTTCGTAATTTTATTTTATCTTTGTCTCTGTCATGTGCACTCTCACTCCCTTTCTCTCTCATTCTTACACCATCTCTCAAGCTCTCTTTTGCTCTTGCACTCTTACTTCCTCTCTCCTTTACACTCTCCAAGTCTCCCTCTCCCTTCACTCTCTCACACTCTTTCTCTCTCTCCCCCTCACTCCTTCTCTCTCTCCCCTCTCTCTTGCTCTCTCTCCCCTCTCTCTTGCTCTCTCTCTCTCACCTCTCTCTTGCTCTCTCTCCCCCTCTCTTGCTCTCTCTCCCCTCACTCCTTCTCTCTCCCCCTCTCTCTTGCTC